ATTGCCATTGCTTGCTTTATTTCTGACATTTCAGAATCAGATTCTGAGCTGTTACTGTCTTCTGACTCAGACTCACTTGATTGACTAACTTCTTTAACTTTCTTTCCAGATCTACTTTTGTATCTCTTCTCCTTTCTCTCAGATACGAGAGCCAAAGGATCAGCAACTTCCTTCTCTTTATTCTTTGCATTACGGATCTCCAAAACATCATGCTCGTTCTGTTTAGAGTTTCATATATTTCATGAATATCAATATCAGATAACTGTTTGTTAAATCTGATATGATTAGCCAATGGTTTCCACTCTGATTGGAGATTGTTAAGGAACTTAACATTTATCTCTATAGTAGTTTTGGAAATTCCGTTCTTTGTCAGCTCGTTTAGCAGTCTGGCAAGTCTGTTATAGACATAATCAAGGCTTTCTCCTACCTTAGCCTTGAACTCTTCATATGCTGAAATGCAATTTGTAATTTTCAGCTGAGTTCTGACTTTCGAACCCATCATCATCTTCTCTATTGGAACCCACATGCTGTGACCTGATGATTTGTAACTATCAATACTGGTGTGGATATCATTAGTCAGTGCTTGCATCATATAAGATTTGCAAAGCACATCAGCATGGGCTCTTTCTTTATCTTCAGCTGAATATTGATGTTTCAGTTTAGGTAATTTATGTGCAGGTATGCCTGCAACTAAATTAGCTTCAACCTCTATAAAGAATTCAGCTGGACCTTCCAATAGAGATTGCGTGATCAGTTCTCCTTCTTTCATCCTTTCAATAAAGTTCAAAAATYYRTCTCTCCATTGATTATAGTCACCACGAAAAAGAACTGGTRGCTTGGTATCAGTACCAATAGCCATTGCTTCTTTTGAACTCATCTTTTCAGTTTGTWTGAAAAATAGGATCAACTGCAGTTCAAAGTTTGAATTTAAAAGATCAGTTTACAAAAAAATATATCTGATAAAGTGTAAACTTGAATAAGCACACATTCAACACTTAGACAATTAAGCACAAGCACTTGTCCGGATTAGTAATCCGCACAAG